CTTGAACAAGCGTAAACGGACTGGTATGACTCTTCTGGGTGTTCTGGGGTCTTCTCCCTTTGGCTTTCTCTCTTCATTTACTGAGTTTGTATTTCTGGATTTACTAAAAGGCTTGTAGTTCTTCAGTAGCTTTAAAGAAAGGCTTGCTTCCCTAAATGGTTTCAGGAAGCATCTACAATTATCTTTTTTAATACGTGCTAATTAAAAACCAACCCCAGCTCTCCCCAGTCCTAGACTTCAGATGGGGTCCTAGAATTCAGATGGGGTGGAGGATCCTGCACTGCCTTTTCTTTCTTTTTTTTTTTTTTTTTTTTTAAAAATTGTCCTGTTTCTTGTTATTTTCCTTTTTCCCACACCTTTCCTTGCGTATAGACAACCGCCTTTATACTTGTGCTTCTTTACTCCTTAAGTCTATTCATTCTGCTCAGAGCACTACCTGCAGTAGCTATTCCCTCATCAACCAGGAGACCAAATGCTCCTCTGCCAGCAAAATGTGCCTTGTTCCACATCAGCTGAACCCAAAGGCTGCAGCCACCTTCTTGCTGCTAACACTGACTTCTCACGTCTGTCTGAGCAAATTTTAGGTTCTACATGCATTTCTGCTTTTAATAAGCTCCTTTAATGCTAACAGAATTAATCTAAATTCACACTCTCAGCAAGCTGTTTTCAGCCAGAATATTGTTTTCAAACTGCGGCAACACCCTGTTTACATAGATAAGCAAATTCACAGTCCACAAAGCTTCTTCCATGCAGAGCAGCTGCTGAACACTTAACAGTAAGGGACTGGGAAGCACATGTTTCACACACATAGCAAACATTTCTTCTTCTGAAGGGTAACCGGATTTTTTTTCTCTTTTCCTGAAGAGTTGAAAGTTAGAACATCTGCTTCTTGGCCAGCCATTCTTTCCCACAAAGGCTGCTTCCCAGGTTCAAAAAAGCTTGGTTAGGTTATTTTGTGTGTGTGCATCTTGGTGCCTGTGTTTTTGAACTATGCCCAGAAGCACCCCAGGGGAGCAGAGGGAACTGCTACACAAGGGGAGCACTGTTGTGGACCCTGAGGCTTGTGCCTCGGCCAGTGCTGCGCAGTGGTATGGCACGGCTGGCCCTGAGTATCATCACTGCAGCAGCAGCTGCTTTACTTACCTTCTCAAACTGCAAAGGTTTTGGGGAGAAAAAAAACCAAACTAAATGGTACATGCTGTGTGAGCAGAGCTAGGGTCAAATCCAGACTTGAGAACCTGACAGGTGAGAGCAGCCCTGCTCTTGGGATCTTTCTGCGGTGCCTCTGCCTTGAAAACATCCCCTGAATGCTGCCTCTGAGGCCCTGTGCTGGCATAAATGCCCAGGATACAGATGGTCGCTAGCACAAAAACCTAAAGTTCATCGTGGCAGTCTTCTTGTCACAAGGAAAGCTGCACCTGATCTGACAACCGAGGTGTTGGGCTTTCAGTAGTAATTTAAGCAGCTGCATGGTCTACTCTTGGTGTTACTCCTCCAAGACCAGCATGACCTGCGTCGATGTGAACCACTGAAGAGTTTCACTGTTTGGTACAAAGTACAGCACATACCTACTTTATATCATGGCAGTTTTTTTCTCTTTTTCTGCTAGCTAAATAAAATATCTGAGAGTGCTTCTTTGTGCTCTGGTGTCCTACTTTAGCATCAGGCAATGCTCTTTGGGGCTGGAATCCAGCAAGTGCGTGCTGAATAGGGAAAGCTTACAGAGATGCAATCTGACTCCTGTGGTCAGGGCTTGAAGATGCTTTAAGTAAGGGGGGAAAAAAAACAAGACAGATAAATTTTCTATTTGTGTGTGTGCAACCATTTTCTTCTGTGTGTTTTGTTTTTTTTTTTTGTTTTGTTTTGTGTTTGGTTTGGTTTTTTTTTTAAGTTTTCATCTACCTTTAGACTATGGCCTGTTTATTTTGACTAAATGAGAACAGAGCAGCCTAAAGGCTGCTGTGATCTTGGTACTCTCAAAGTCCTTGGTGTTTCTTTTGTGCAGTAATTGGCAGGCAAAAGATGTGGGTTTTCCAAAAGCCTGTGTGGCATTTTTGAGTATAGAAGAGGGAAACTGAAGTAATTTCAGACATATTACAAATTTTAGAAATGTTTCAAAGGTAGCACAAGTAAGAGAATAGTATTTCTAGATTAAAATAATGGAATGTGTGCAGAGCCCATTCTAGAATTGCTTTAGTGGTGGTTCAGTCTCTCTACTCAAAAGACAGCATATTGGTGCTGTATCCCACCCCCTTCATCGCAAATCATGCAGAAGGTAAGTTCCAACCTGTAAAACTACATCTGATGCTATTTTAATACCCAGTTAGCCAAGAGAAGAGGTCAATGATTTATTTCTACTTGTAAAGCAGAAATGGTAATAGCATCTGGTTTAAAGATACAGAGGTGAGGTCCTTTCTCTGGCCACTGTTGCCCGCTGGTATTTCTATTAGATGTAATGTGATCTGCAGGTGGCAAATAAGCCCAAACACTGAGCAACAAAAATAAATTGCTACTCATTAAAAATATGTCTCCACTGGTAATGTATTTTACGCCTGTCCCTTTCAGTCTATTTGTGCTTGTTCCTCTGGGTCCCCACCTGTGGTATTGTCCGCATGAAAAGAGCCTCCTCAGCGAATTAGTAATTGACTCCTAAATATTGTCTGTCTTGACTTTCCCGTCATCTCCCCTCAGTTTGGCATGCTTTTAAAGGACTTACATTACGAGACTTTTTCACCAGACAGCAAGGCTGGTCTCTCTGCACTCCCCTGTATTCTCTCTCCCCAGCTCCGCTGCACTTGCACATGTCTGCATTGCAGTGACTTCAAAGAAGGCTGAGTTGTGGCGCACTGTGGTTCATTTGCCATCTTGTAGACCAGCAAAGCCCTTGGCTGCAGTTAAAAAAATACTGTAATTAGGGCATAGGACATGCCCACAAACTGTGCTAAGGAGGTGCTGAAAGAAAAGCCCATAGGAAAATGTTTTCTTTCAGACTAAGAGTGCTCTGCTTTAAGGATAGAAGCAAGGCAAGGGTTTCAGGAGGGCTGGAAGTTTTTGTAAGGTAATTGACACCCATACCTTTTAATCTCTAAAAAGGACCTGTTGTTTTTCCCCCTCCCAGGGATATTAATTGGTCTTGCACACAATCTTAGCCCTTGCGTTATACTTTCCTAGTGTAGAAAAAAGGTCTGAGCTCTGAAAATCTCATGTGCAGCATCTCCTTATGCAAAAATGACGATGGCCTTCTGGGGTGTGGGAATTATTGCAAATTCAGGGTCTTTCTTGGAAGGCTTATTGGTCTCAGTAGCTTTTCTTTCATAGGCAGCATTACTCAGCAGCAGACTTAAGACCTCAGGTCGGACTAACCCCACAGTACATCAGTGCAGGGCAGACATACATACCAGTTCCACCATGGGAAGAGTGGGACAGAGAGGAGAGATGTGTTTGGCAGGACCCTTGGTTCCTCCCTAATGCTCTAACTGGGGGGAAATGATCCTACAGGTGTGGAATATTTCATAAAGCTTAATGTGAGAAGATTCTTCTGGCTCTTCCTATCAACAATGTTGATGGTACAGAATTGCAAAATGAGTAACACATGTTTTGATGAAATTAAATGTGAAATTGGAAAAGGAAACGTGTCTGAAGTACAACAAAGGATTGCCAGATAAGCCATTAGACTCTAGAAATCTGCTGCTGTTAAAAAAAAAAATGTGTTTTGAAAGAGTTCCATGTGATATTGTTTTCATTTCCCCAACATCCAAAGAAGAAATATGGCTTGATTTTAGTTTAGTAAAAGCAAACATGTACAGCTAAAAAGATACTGTTATACCTTACCTACCTAATAACCTTTACACTAAGCATTTAGTTTTTCTTAGGTGTATTGCAGGATGCAAGAAACCTTCTGTCTTGCAAGTCCGCAGTCACCCTACCCATTCTTTTTGGCTTCTCCATTGTGGTAGAGTGTGAAAAGCATGGCATTCTCCCAACCTATTTTTGTACAGTTGGAAAATGAAGCCAATAGAAGGTGAAGGAGGAAAGTAAATGGGAAAGGGTGTTTCCCAGCAAATAGTATAGAAATCCATCCCAGCAGCATCCTTGTCCATGGTGCATGTCTTGGCAGCAAAAGCAGGAAATGTTCTCCCAGGTATCGTGGCCCTGAGGCAGGCAGTAAACCCTGGCAGCCAGAACAGCTTGCCCAACATGTGGTTTTCCTCCAGGTGCCTTGCTGCTGCCTTCCAGTCAGCTCCGACGCACAGACGTGCAACAGTGAAACAGGGGATTTGTTCTCCTGCTTGGAGCCATCCTGCTTTAGTCAGCTCGACTTCTGGGTGCAGATTCTGGTTTGCTGTTTGCTTGTAATTTCAGTTATCAGATTCTTGCTCTGGAACTCATTAGCTATTAGGAATGAAAAGGTAGAGTCTTGCAAGAGAGAGGGCTGACTAATTCTGCTCTGTTCTCTGATCATAGCCCAGAGTAGAGGGGTGTGTAGTAACCAGTTTCCAGTCCGAAGTCTTTCTGAAAAGCTAAAAATCTGCTGTGTATATAAAGCAAATACATTTTACGTTGGCTGCATAGGTGTGTCCCAAATATGATAAAATTCTCACTCTTCCTACTGCGGTCTGGTAATTAGTGCATGGACAGTGGCTTTGTAGAATGGCCAAACAAAACCATCCTTGCTTAAAAATAGATGTCCAAAAGCATTAGAGTGCTTTAGGATTGGGTGCATTGTACCTGTGGGCAGCACTTCCAAAGTGGCTGCAGGACTCACGGGGGATACATGAGGGCATGTTGCATCATACTACATTTATATTTATTTTTTCTGCGATGCCTCCAAGCTTATGTTAAGAATATGCTGTAGTATGCCATCATTTAAGTGTCTTGGCTCCTGTGAGAAGCCTGACCCATATGAACCTGAAAATGCTTATATACTCTTTAAATAAGCTTGCCTACTGAATCCCTGCATGTCTGTATGCTTCACTTGTGGCCACTCTTGTGTTTTCCAGACCATAATCTTCATTCGTGACCGAAATTCTCATGGACAGGAGGTGTCTGCATATATCGACTATGCACACAGACTGACAACAGATGATTTTGAAGTCTACTTCAGAGGGAAGAAAAGGCTTTTCCCTCGGAAGACTGATCTGAGGTATTTAACTTGACTCTGTTTTCATTTATTTGCATGAAGGGAATATATAGAGAAAGATGTAAATGTTTTTGAGTAGGAGAAAGCTTATGAAGTTTTTTTTCACTGCAAGGCAAACATCATGGATCAAAATTAGCATGGAGAATGGCTTTAAGAAGAGTGCCTTTTAGATGTATTTAGTCCAGAGTATAAAACTTAACCATGACATTGCAGCTGTTGCCTGCCTGCACCTCTCATTACACTGAGGAGTCTCTAAATAGCAAGTTGCTTTGATCGGTAAGAGCCCGCTTCTGGAGATGCCACGGGCCATGTGCCTGCAGTCAGCAATGGCTGGAACATCTCTAGCTTTGCTCACTCTCCACAGAGTCCATGGGAGAATTTCTTTGCTTTGAAAGTGGGCCACCTGCAAATAAGATGGTGTGTGATCTGTGACTAAAGAGAAGCATCATCAATGCGATTTTTTGCTGAAGAATGTGTTTTCCTTCAAACACATGCTGTGCCTGAGCATCCAAAGATACGTTTATGAGACATGTTTGTTCACTTATGTTGGTAAAGGACAAGTCAAAGAGTCTTGGTGTGGCAAAGCTGGCAGTCTGCTTCTGGCCTGGGACCGTGTTTAGCGCGGAGCCGTGCGTGATGTGGCAGGCAGGTGATGCTGGATACGGGGTAGAGGTGGAAAACATTTTAGTGGACTGGTGTCATGAATTAATCATCATAGGAGCCACCTTGGTGTAGAAGGACCAGGAATCTCCTGTTAGAAGGTAAAAGCTGTCAAGAACTAGCTGCAGTGTCATGTGCAGTTACTGTCTCCTGGTGAGAAGATGTCCAGCACGCAGGAGTTAGAGCATTTTCTGAGACTGGTGTTCTGTAACACAAATTGCTGCAAATGCTTTTTGGTCAGCTCTGGTGTGTGTTAGAGAGTGAAGAAGCAGGAAAGAGTTGGAAGGGGCAAGTGAGCTGGTGAAGGTTTTGTGTTATTCCTTCAGGAGACAGCAGATGTCAGTAATGAGGCAGAGATATTGACATCTCTCATGTACCGGAGATGGGAAACGAAAATCCTGGGTTTATGCTTTTAAATCACAGGGATGAACAGAAGTTGTTCTTTATGACTGAATTAACAACAGGAGTAAGCATAACATTGTGTCTGCTTTGCATTTGATATCCTTTCTACATACTGTGATTTTGTTATGGACTCATAAAAAAGCTTTTTTAAATCATTGTCATACCCAAAAAGAAATACCAGTGTGGTATCCAGTAGGTTTCCTTAGTCCTGGTTATTCTGAGTTTAGAAAGTCTCTTTTAATGTATGCTTCAACCTCTTTATCCTTTGCTTGTGTCAAAAGTAGGATACACTGCAAACTTCACAGATAGCTTAGTATGTTCATCACTTCTAGTGGTAGAATATAACTTTAAGTGATATTTCATCTAGCCTTTTTGTTGGAGAGGGGAAAGGGCAGGGGGGATACAGCGTTACCTAAATATGGGGTTTTAAAACTGGAATGTAACCCATGCAAAACTGCACTTGAACTTTCCAGCTGAACATAAAGGGAGGAAGTGAAGATAAAGCAAACATGGTGCCAAGAAGGCTGGTTTGTTTTAATTACATAGATAGGAATGACTCTGTGCACTGTAGTTAATGAGGTTCATGTGCAGATATAATTTTTTTTCTATATATATGACATTATATATATAGATACTGAAGTAGTCTTAGTGCATTGTACACTGGCTAATGAAAAAAAACCTTCACTTTGTGGTGAAATGATACGGATTTTGATGCATCACATGTACAAACTGGTGTGCTGGTGTTGGCTGGGATAGAGCTAATTTTCTTCATAGCAGCTGGTATGGGGCTGTGTTTCGAATTTGTGCTGGAAAAAGGGTGTTGATAGGGCATCAGTGTTTGTGTTGCTGCTGTGCAGTTATAGCTTGCACGGTGCCAAGGCCTTTTCTGCTCCTCGTGTCGCCCCACCGATGAGCAGGCTGGGGGTTCACAGAAACCTGGGAGGGGACACAGAGGGCACAGCTGACCCAAGGGATATTCCAGACCACATGACATCATGATTGGCATATAAAGCTGGGGGAATGCAAGGGGAAGGGGGCTGCTCAGTGATGGCATTTGTCTTCCTGAGTAACAGTGGCGCACATTGGAGCCCAGTTTTTCTGAGATGCCTGCCGATGAGAAGTGGCAATAAATTAATTGCTTTGCTTCGCTTGCTTATGCAGCTTTTGCTTCACCTGTTCAACTGTTCATCTCAACTGTCGCGTTTTTTCATGTTTACCCTTCCAGTTCTCTCCCCAATCCCGCCGGGAGGAGTGGGTGGGCAGATGTGTGGGGCTTAGCTGCCGGTGTTAAACCACATCACATGCTCCATGAGTTGTCAAGCACCACATTTTGCATCGGGTAGGTGTCTTCAGTGCAGTATGTTTCATTCCCACCCTGTCTCTCATGGTTAACATTGAGAATGTTATTGGGCAGATGGAGGACAGGTATGAAGTAACCCAGGAAGAAAGGTGTGGCTATTACTGTACTGATTTAAAGATTCTCATTGGTAGACAACTTACTATGCCTCCTAAAAACCTTTTTAATGATTAGATAAAAACATCCTGTTTCTTGATTGGACGCTTAAATTTGAACTTTGCTTGTTGAATCCTGTGTTTGTAGTTGTATGCCAGGTTAAATAGAGCTTTAGGATTATACGATTTGTAATTACACGGGCTGTAATCATCAAAACTGTCTTCAGCATTAAAAAAGAACTTTATTACAGGTAATTGAACATTTAATGGTTGTCCTCATCATAGCAGTATTATTCCTCTGACTCTTTGGTTTCTATCCAGCTTCTTCAAAACTTGTCAGGAATGCTCTTTGTGGATGTGGATAATTTGACTGTATGTATAATTTCATGCCTTCATCTTTGAATCACTTGTTGAGCTGTGAATATAAGTCTTTTCATTGTGTTTTTCTTCCCCGGACACTTAGGCGTTTAGGCAGGTATAAAAACATGTCAACAGCATATCTACTTCTTGGGTTGAAAGACTGGGTGTTTCTGTCAAAAATGCTCAGTCCTAAAAGTCATAGTTTCAGTTGAAATTGTTTGGAAGTGCTGCCTTCTTATACAACAGATCAGTCTGGGAAACTGCCTCATTTAGAGCTTTGCAGAACCCTTACTCTTGGTCATGCTTAGTCACTTGGGAGATTCTAAGTCTCAGATTTTGCAGGAGAGGTTAGTATCTTGTGCAGAGCTATCAAATTATCTTTTAAATTTATAAATCCATACTTTGTTGCAATGCATTTTTTCCTTCACTGTCTGAGGCTGTAGGAAGATACTAAACTTTCTCTCCAGTTCCCTCTGAATTGGGTTCTTGTTCACAATATGAAGTAAAAACACTGAACAACTAAGTTTGTGATATTCATACTTTAAAAGCGATGGGTAATATCAGAGGCTCTTGTATTTGATCTGTGTGGTTCCTCTGGATATTTTTGCCATTTTATAGCGTTGCCCTATCGAGGGAGTATTGTTTATATGATGTAATCCTCATTTGGTTCCAGTTTATTAAAAGAAAGGAATGTGTTAGGCAGTCAGTTCTTTAGCAGTCTGGAATCTGGACTATAATTGAATCCATTCCCTCTCAGCTAATTTATGTAATCTGATGAAAAACAAGTGTAATACAATTTGTTCAAAGAAAATGGAGAATGTTCACTCTATGAAACCATACCAGAAAAGCTCTCTGAATGAAGAAGTGCAGCATAAGGTGAAGCTTGGGCTGCCTTCTGTCTGATGGGCCATACTTTGAGAGTCTCTGCTAGTGATGGAGGATGAAATTAACATTTTGCCTTATAATTGTACTATTTTGCTTTTGTGTGAACTCTTGCCCTGTTTTTTCACTAGTTTTCTGTGGCGGGGTGCTAGGTATGGTATTTCTGATACCGTACACTGTAGTGTTGTATCCTCACGCTTGGCATGTGGTTGCAGCATTTTCATTTCTTGTTACCAGTGTGTACATTCTTTTCTAAAACCGAGCCAGGGAAGGAGCCATTTGCTGTAGAACATGGATCCTAGGTTTTCCCCTGAACTAATGGTCTGAAATCACTCTCTTATCTCATCAGTGAAACTCATTTGATTTTGGCCCCAGCACGCATCACTCTGAGTGTGGGAGGTCCGGCACTTGGGGCTTTGTGGTGACGCCTTGTGACAGGCGGGCACTTTTGGACGTGGCGTGTTGTTCCTTGCTGTTGGCAAGAACTGCCCGATCAGATTCTGCCCTTCTGCTCTTGTAGCTGAGCTGTGGTTTCTTTTGGCTGTGAGTGGGCGCAGCATTTGGCAGTTATTCGTTAACTAGGGTTGGAATTCCCTCCCATTTTATTGCCAGGTATAGTCTAAGATACCATCTGTTAATCTGTAAAAACCTGTAGGCCAAATAGTGGCCAGCAATATGTTCCCAAGTGTGGGGTGTGAGGCAACTTCTCCCTTCCCTGCTCTACCCTGTAACCCAGCAATCTGAGAGCAATTTACAGCAGCACGCTAATCCTACCCTGCTTAGCTAGGCGAGGTCCAAGAGGGAAGAAGTCACAGTTTCATGCTTTGCAGTACGGGCTGTCCCACTGTGCCAGGCAGAAGATGTGCAGAGCACTTCTCTCTTGAGGAGCAGGTGGTGGGAGCCTGCGAGGGAAGTCAGCTTCTTGGTAGTCTTGAATGCTTGCCAGTCAGAAGCTCATTAGTGTCTCTAACAATTGAGTGCTATGGATATAGACCACAAGTTAAGTTCAAACTTCATTTCAGGAAAAAGGTAAAAACATCCGGAGTTTCCAAAACGCACAATCTCCAGTTTTGGACAGGATTAGACAAGCTCCACCACCTAATTTGCAGGGATTACCATAGTGCTAGCAATATTGCAGTGTGAAAGAGTTCGGTGTTGAGGAAAAAAAACCAAACCCCTCTTCATCATCCTAATTTCACAAGGACTTTGCTGTGGCTGATGGAAGAAATTTCACTAGATATTTTTTC